TTTCAGGTGGCATTTTCATTCTTTTTCTGTTGAGAAAATAGCTTCTTCAACAGATAAATCAGAAGAACTATTGGAAATCCATGCCTATTGTTTTCAGATTTCAAAGAATTACCTGGCAGGCAGATTAAATATATGTCTCAGTTATCGGTACACAAGACCAAGCACTGTAGACAAAGAGGTGGGTATGGTTCTTACCAGATTTGTCACATAAGGCATTGTAAGAATCCACAGTTTTCTGAAAATTTTACATTAAAGTCTTAGGCCTGGACAGGATTTATGTGTTGTAACTCAGCAAAGCTCCTGAAAGCTCAAGTTCATATCACTGTGACAGTGTACACCATCTAAGGTTGCGGTACATTTGAGAAGGGGCAAGTAGCAGGTACTCACATCTTGTAATTCACATGGCTGAATTGAAAGAGTAATCTTTTAATAACTGGTTGAGAAAAGAAGCACCTTCTTAAGGTGACCAAAGTTTGGTGCCTAGGTTAATGTGGTGAAAATATCCCCATGGTTTTCATTTCTTTTTGTTTTTTCTCCCTGTGGAGGAAGGCAGCTACTCAGAAAAAACAAAAACACACTTTTGTGTTTCAGTTCAACGCTGCAGGCTGAGCTCCCTCAGAACATTGAGCCAAACTGGAAGAAAACCTGAAATAGCATTGCAAAGTTCCTTGATGGCATGCAGACTGGGAGAACAGCAGTCAATAAAGAACATGAGCAACAGTTTTCTCAGTCAACTGTAGTCAAATGTAAGCCATGCTTCTAAGTGATGTTGTCTGGCTGTACGTGCTGTGAAGAGCAGTGACTCTAAAGAGGATTTGACTGTTCCAGTAGATGTTAGGATGGATAGGCAGAACAGCAGAAAGAGATGCTGCAGCTAAGAGATAAGTAGAGACATTAGGTACTTTAATAAGATCTACAGGGAATGTGATTGGTAAATCCGCAGTCCCAGCAGGATGGGTGACATAAGAAACATTGCAGAAGCTTCAGAGAAGGACCATCAAATAATTCTAAATCTCATAATAAAAAAGTTATGGTGGTTAATGTCTTAATACTATCAGATGGAGGGATTTGGTAATGATTTCTTTGTCTGCATACCCGTGTGGTAACAGAAGGTTCTCCCATATAGCTGGCAAAGATACAATAAGATCCTATGTTACACTTAAATAATCACATTTTTAATCTAAATTATCTGGCTTATTTAAGGTGAAGATAAGTATCTGTTAAACTAGGCAAAAACCACGACAGTATCTATCGCTGGCTTATTTAAGGTGAAGATAAGTATCTGTGATAGTTTAACTAGGCAAAAACCAGGACAGTATCTATCAAAACAGCTTCGGAAAAGTTTTTGTCTTCCCGTTAGTACAAAATATTGAGAGGTACAAAAGGTCAAAAGCCTGAAGGCATTTGTAATTTTTCCAGCATGTTAAGTGATCAACAGTGTGCTCACAAGACATTAGAAGAGCTAGTGTTCATATTGCTCCCTAATTCAGAGCACGTTCCTGGTAAAGCAGTATGATGGAAGGTAGTTCATAATCAGATACACTCTGAAAATACAGAGAGTGTATATATGTACTAACAGTGCACATGTACTTAAAGAAAGGCAAGATGATAGGGACTGGTAATATTTTTGTTAAATAAACCTCTCTACTATTACAACATGTAGGTTGAACTGTTTTTATAGGAAGAGATAATAGAGCTTGCCCAGTATATAATTCAGGGGTGTTGTGTGGGGGTTTCTTTTTAACATTTGAGTAGTGTTGATTGAAGCCCAGTTGCACTAAATTGTATGTCCTCTTCACTACTTCATGTTCATAAATAGATATTTTGTTATCAATTGATGAGGTTGACCTGGGTTTCCCACATGGTTCTTCATTTGTCCTCCTTGCATTCCACATGTGTCCAAGTACCCTTTTTTTTTTAGGTCTTTGCAGCAGAAAAAGAGAGATCAGTCTGGCACTGGTTGCCCCTAATGCAACTCCCTGATACTCTTATCCGTAGGGGTTTGTCTCAGGTATCCTAGGTGTCTGTTTTCAAAGTTTGAAGAACTGCGTTATTTTACTCTAGAGAATAGCATTTTTATGTCTAGTAGGGAATTAGACCCTTGTGAATATCTCTGAAATGAGAACTATAGCACTGTGGGGGTTAATTGGATCCGAGAGATATATTGACAGTGATTCAAAGAAGAGGCATCATGTGATCTCATTTGTACTTGGTCAGCCTTTCTCATACTTGGTACAGCCACTTGTACTTTTAGCAGGAAGATGAACTTGATGTAAGTTTGTAAGAAAGATTTCATAAAGCTATATGAAATATATTTGTTGCTTATTTTCTTTAGGTAAAGGAGCATAATTTTCAGACAGCATAATGGTAATGAAAGTGGCATATGACACAATACACCTGTGTTATTTCAAGCCAGAAAAGTAGACGTTTAGACCAGTTTTCATACAGCGTGATGCTTAAACAAATGCTTGCAGACAAGGGCAAATGTAAAGAATTTTGAGGAGTGAAGGGACTAAATATGCCTCAGAAAGTCTTAGTGAGAGTTTGTTAATAACACATGTTGAACAAGCTGGAAGAGGGTATAATATGCATCAGCTTAGACTTCATTTAATCTCATTGGGACTCTCCATTGAATTTGGTCTTGTCTCAATAAAGTACTGTATTTCCTATGAAAGAATCAAAACAAGTCCTTGAATGAAAGAAACCCTGAAATCAGAGACAAAACTCTCATTGAGAGCCAGGATTTCATCTCGCATGCCTAGAATTTTTCAGAGGCATTCAAGAATATTGCAAAGTCGCAGTAAGATTTCCATGTAAAAAGAGCTCCAAAATTATATGTATTCCTCTGCTCAGACCTTCCCACAAGGAATCTACCCACCCTTATAGTGAATTTTGGCCTTGGTTTTCACAGGTTCCTGCTTTCCTTCCCTGAGGCAGGTCTCTGAAATCAGATGCTCTCTGTGTGTGATAACTATTTCCAGGGTTTTGTGGATGCAGCTGAAAGCTCTGCTCTGGTAAACAGCTGTGCTGTGACTGTTTTATGACTTTCAGTTTTATGCTGGAAATAAGGACTACATATCTGGATGAGGTGATGAATTATAGTTTGACAAAACCTGAATAGGACTTAGGGTTTCAGGTTGAGCCCTTTTCCTTGTGTCTATTCAGAAGTAGGGCAATGAAACTGCAAGTTGACAGAAGGCTCAGTGTAGGTTGAATATGGGTTTTTTGGCCTGATTCTGTGAACTTCGCTTGTGAATCACACTAGAGCCTGGTGGTGAACACTTCAGAAGGCAGCAGGAACCTGGATGATACTGTGCTGTGTATAGGCAAGCAATTATATTCCTGACTGCTAGGGGAACCTGCTTGACAAATCGAGCTATAGAAAATGGGAACTACCTGATGGAGCAAACAGAATGAAAGAAAAAAAGCCTCTGAAATCACTTCTGAGGCTGCTGTGCTCAAGTGATTGCTTTTTATATTAAACTTACTCTGTTATCTCTTAACATCCCCCACCCACGTTCACATACACACATGTTCAACTTAATGCCAGGGTGTGGGAGCTAGTTTTTACTACAGTGTTGGCAAACTGAAGTGCTCTTGTTGCTTCATGGATTTAACACTGGTTATGGCATATCTGAGATAGTAAGAGAGACTTTCCTATGTAGGCACAGCAAGGAACCCAAATTCAGAGCATACACAACCCTTATTTTTATCTAAAGCTGCAAGCAGACCAGCCATGAGGCTCTGGGAGGCAGGTAGAAGCAGGATAACAGCTCTGCTTTCCTGTGTGCATGTGCACATTCCACAGATGTTGGCACTGGTTTCATAAATTGTGGGTGAATTTTACAGCTCCATCTGAAGCCCCTGAGCCTCATTGTGAGATTGGGCTCCTCCAGGGTGATCTAATGAGAAACTAAGTAGATGTACCATTCCCTCCTGCAGTGGTTGGAGTTAATGAGACTGCTATCCTAGAAAGTATAAACAAGAGTTATTTGTCAGTAGTAGTAGGAATCATTAGGAAGGAAGACTGCACAGGAACCACAGGAAATACAAGCCAAGAGAGACATCTGTAAAGCAACGTGTGCAGGATGATACCACGCTAATTGTCTGCCTTGTACCACATTACCAGTACTCTCTGAACAAATTATCTGCATACCAGACACGAGATTAGCCAGCATACGTTTATGGATGTGAGCATACTTACTTGTGTCTAGTTGAGAGAAAGAGGGAGGTATAAGAAGGATTTCTTGCCTGTGGTGTTGGTGATAGAGGCATTGTAAATTGAACACGCCCACATTTGACTACCAGTTCTGAATAGGTAAAATGTACTCAGGACTTCTCTGTTGTGACAGTCCACAGGTCAATAAATGCCTTTTCATTCTTTTATTTCATTGAATATACTAATTGCCAGTGGAAGCAGAAAGGCAGAAGGACAGGTCTCTATAAAAGTTCTAAATTTTAGAATCAAGTGTCTTGAGGCCATCTCAATATTGACGTTTCTTTTTTTTTCCTATAAAACAATGATTTTGCTGAAAAGTAACTCCTAATTTCTCAACAAAAACAAAGTATGCAAGTAGAGTCCACTTAACCAAGTTAGGCGTTTCACCATCATGGTATTTCAAAGGCTGGACAAGTAGAACACAATATTGGAATTACCAAGTATAGGACCATAGATTGGATTATGACAATAATAATTTAAATAATTATTCATACTACTTTTCAAAGTTACCAAACCTAGCACTTACTGTTCCCTGACCAAAAGCTCAGCATCGCTTCACCCAAAATAGAAAACCACCATCAACTCATGGTTGAAAGAACATCAGGGCTGAAACATCCAAATGGGAAATAGAGAATTTTGCACATGATTCTTCTGGACAAATTTTATACAGCCAAAGCCCTTGAACTGTGCATGTAATTTTTAAAACATGTATGTGCAGATGGATTAACTTGGATACTGGCAGAGGCCTCTGTGACACATCTCTCTCAGCATCTCTCCTGTACTTGTCCCTTCCCTTTTTTTTTTTTTCTTCTCCCTTGCTTTGTTAATCAGCATTTCTAGGTTTTTTTAAGCCCTTGTGCATACCTGAAAAATGGAAGGGGTTTGATGCTCCCCTGCTTGTCACTATTGTGGTCACTCACACCCATGTAAAATAAGCATCCATGTGGACAATTTTTGCTTGTGCGAGTTTGCACAAGTGTGAAGAACAGCATAAAGTAAAAGGCAGCAGCATTCTTTTATGGTACACACACAGTCATGTGTTTGGATATCTGACTGTTACGTCTTGATGCTTGAGAGTCAACCAGCATGGTTCTGCAACAGCCCTCTCACCCTGACAGACACGGGAACTTTCAGGGCTGGTGGATTGTTGTGGTAGATTGTTAAGAGACAAAGGAATAGTCCTGGTAAGAGTAATCCTACAAATGTAACAAACTGTGTGCACAAAATGGAATTTAAGTTTTTAGACATTAGATTCAGATTTGCTAAATCAGCAGTGGTGAAGTATTGTCACCAGAGCCAAATTTGGCATTGACAGAGATTTGGGCTGGAACCAATGATATGGGCGCAGCCACCACGTGGGCTGCATCGCTTTACAAATTATTTTACCATATCAA